CGTGCTGCTCGAGTCGCCCATGGGAGAGCGTTGCCGGTCCAAAAGCATAAGAGCGGAGCGGGCTTGGAGAAAAGTGGGCAGCGGATCCTGAAATTGAAGAAAAGACGTCTGGGCTTGCAAATCTGCGGGGAGACCACGAAGCATCTGAAGAACCAATTGATGTTGGGACACCGGGGCATCAACATCGTCCAGCCAATCTGCGAGATTTTGCAGATGTTGACAGTAGGACGCCATGGTGGTGTTGCCTTTGACAGTGGTACGGAACTCGTGCTCCAGTTGCATGGCACGAGCATTCTTGTTGTCGTGAAACAGATCATGAATAACTTTCCAAAGAGCAGAAGCGGTGGAGACAGAAGAGATAACCAGATCTGAGACTTCGTCGGAGATGGTGGATAAGATCCATCCCTGGAGGAGAGCGTCGAGTTGGAGCCACTCATCATCGTCTTCAGAGAGAGGGACGATGGAGCCATTGATGTAGCCTTGGAGATTGAATCGGCGCACCAAGAGGAGGAAAAGGCGACTCCACTTTTTGTAGTTCGGTTGAGAGAGGCTGAGAAGAACCGGAACATGGAGTTTGACATTAGAGATCGTCGTGAAGGCAAGATGAGGGGTTTTTGCCGGAGTGGANACTGCCGACGTCGAAGGAGGGACGGCGGGGCGGCGCTGTGACTGCCGCGAGGGAGAGAGAGAGCCGAGAAGTAGGGTTAGGGTTTTTTCTTTTTTTTTTGTTTAATTAGGCTCCGATACCATGAAGAATTATGATTTTCATTAATCAAAAGAGTTGTGATTACATGTATATATATAAGGGGAGTCTCAATCCTAATCAAGGTAGGAGAGACACAAGTAAGGAAACCTATACAAATAAGGTAAGGGAATAATACAATGTATTAAATATATACAATATATTTAACAATTACAAATTGCGGGTTACGGAGTAAAATTTCATACTTTTTGAAATCATTTTATTTACAAATTGGTATATCAATAAGATATAAAAATTACGTATTAAAAAACTACGTCAAAAGTTCTACAAAACAAGAGGTGACAAGAATATTTTATTTTATCAAATACTTGATGAAATCGCGTAAACAAACAAAAGTTATCGAGAGGAGAGAGAAAAAAAGATTGTAATCTATTTAGGGACGGAGGGAGTATTTATAAATTATACAAAAAAGTTATAGAAATAAATAAAAACAAATACTTTTTTAATGTTCAAAAAACAAATACTTTATGTAATAAATGTGTAGCATAGAACCAAGTAAAAGAAGAAAAAACACTCGTATAATTTAACTACAAATTATATAAATATGAGTTGTGCTTCCATGATCATAAGGTTTACATGTAAAATATGGACTTTCTCACAATTTTAGTGAGTCGACATTGAAATCTTTTATTTTTTTGAGGAACCCGATTCATTCATGGTATTTATATACTAAAGTTCATAATGAATATGGACATCGAGACCATAACATTATGTTTTGTTCAATGGATTAAGAAAGGAAGGAAAAGAAAGTGATTTCTCTTCTTTTTTTCACCAAAATGAAAGAAATTATATTTTCTCTCTTCTTAGCTTATTTTAGCTTATCATTTTCTTTTCTTCACTAACGAAACATGAAAAATGATTTTCCACATCATTTTCTATTCTTTTCCTTCTTAAATTTCATGAACCAAACATAGTGTAAGAGTCCGTTTGGTAAACGGAATTGAATTTGAATTGGGGGTCAAAATTCTATAGAATTAATTTGGATGGAATTAAATTCTCCAATTTCAGTTCGATTTTGGCACTACTAATCCCAAATATTTTTATACTACCAAATTATAAAATTGAAATTGTTGTCTCCAATTCCGATTTTATAATTTAGCCTAAAAGAGTTTTTCTATACTCTCTATATAGGTAGCATATGGAAATATGATTTTTTTTAATAAAGGCAAACATGTAATAGAGCGATTGCCAAATATTCATTCTTCGAATTTGGACCAAAGAAGCAAAATTGGACCCCAGCAGTGTACTTGGTGGAACAATCAACGGTGGACCAAGACTGAAGCACGAAAGGGAATGGCATCCCCGTAAATACAACCGAAAACACAATGGCAACGCGGTAATTACACATCACCCGGCCTTCTTTTATTTATTGCCTCTTCGTTCCCAAGATCGCATCTCCCTTCGTTGATCGCAGGCTTCATTTCTCCCTCCGTCTCTCTACAGATCCCTCTTTCGTTTCAGGTAAAAATCTCACTCGTTCTGCGCATATTCATTCGCAAGCTCTTGTAATGTTCATCGCGTTTTTTTTGTTTTTCTTCTGTGAAAGTTGCGGGTTCCGTTTGATTCCTAGGTGTTTGTGTTCGATTTCTTGGGATTAGAGTGCTTGATGAGTTGCAGATAGCTTTTTCTGTTCAATTTTATGTTCGTCCTGTTTGAAAAAAAGGATTTTTTTGGGTTGCTCGTTTGAGATTTGGAATTTTGAAATTTTTGTTTGTTTACACCGATCTAGCGATTGGTATGTGCATAGGTTGCGATCCTTTATCTTTGTGTAACTGCTTTTGAGATCATGAGGTTGGGATTGGAAATTTGATTCTCTCGTGGCGGATTTGTGCTTGTACATTTTGTTTAGCGTTCAGATCCGTCTTTCAATTGCATTTCACAATTCACACCAAGTCATATGCATTTTGTGTCCTTGATGTGGAAATACGGGCTGCGATTTAGTTTTTTGAGCTTTGATCTGGGTTAGTGGTGTGGTGCAATGATTTACAGGGATTAGCAGCAAAAGGACAGATGGGGCTCACATTCACCAAGCTCTTCAGCAGGCTTTTTGCCAAGAAGGAGATGAGGATTCTTATGGTTGGTCTTGATGCAGCTGGTAAGACGACCATATTGTACAAGCTCAAGCTGGGAGAGATAGTTACTACCATCCCCACTATTGGTATGATCTTCCCCTGAGATAGTTTTTGAAGCTCTTTTGTCAATGTATGGTGTGTGGCTTTGACATACTTATGAATCTATGGTACGCTTTGGAAGCGTGAATGTTTTGATTTTTCACCAAGATACTTTTGATGATTTTCTCTTAAGAATGTTATGTTTTTTTCCTTTTTTCTTTCCTGGTTATGGGTACTATGACTATATACCAATATATTTCTCATTATGTTTTTTTAAAAAAAAAATGCAGTGTGTCTTTGACATATTTGCCTATACCACACTGAAAGTGGTGTCCTTTCATCTATATGCGGCAACTTTGTATTTGTTAGCCTGTACAATAATACACCGTCATTTGATTTTCATAGTCGGTTATATATTTTTATGTGCTTCACTCCCACTTTGGTGTGCTTGTAACAGTTATCTCATAATAGTATTCAAATTTCTGCAGGTTTCAATGTGGAGACTGTTGAGTACAAGAACATTAGCTTCACTGTTTGGGATGTTGGGGGTCAGGACAAGGTATGCTAAATTATGTCTTCTCTTATTAGCCGTTGAATTTTTTCTACCTGTGTATACATGTATACATCAAACAATATATTGACCATTAGTTATTGAACTCTACTTTTTTCTCTTTCATAAAAATTGCATGTATAGCCACCTCATTCAGTATTTTTTTGGCAGATCCGTCCATTGTGGAGGCACTATTTCCAGAACACACAAGGTCTTATTTTTGTCGTGGACAGTAATGACAGAGATCGTGTTGTGGAGGCAAGGGATGAGTTGCATAGGATGTTGAATGAAGTAAGATGACTTTCTCTGTGCCTGTACTCCATTTTAAACTTTTAAAACTGCATTTGTACATAGCTTTTCTGCTTTCACTCACCTAATGAGGCTATGATTAAAATTGAATTAAATGACCAAAATGTCAATAAGTCTGCATCTGTGTCAAATTGGCCATTGTGATCAAGAATATCTTTGTCCACACAACACATGTATTTTCATTTCTAATTATCACTGCGTACCTCGCAAGTGTAGAGAAAAACTTCGTACCTCTCCCCTCTTCTTAGTTGAACATAGTAGTTGAACTCTGTTCAACGAATGTCTAGTGATTATGCACCTTTCAGTTCATTTCTAATTACTGATGACATTTGTAATTTAGGAAGACAATTTTATTTTCACTATACAAAATATTTTGAAAATGCCAAGATTTGTAGTCTAGTTGAACTTTAGGTTAAAGATCAATGTTTCTGTAATTTGATCAGATATTCCCTTTGATTTTATCTTCCAAATAAAGACCATTTAACTTTTTATAAATCTATATGTATGAACTTGTAGAGGATACCGTGATAGGTTATCATCTGGATGTGGAATTAGTATATCGTTAATGATCTTTTGTACACTAAAGTATTGAACTATGAAGATTGTCGGGCTAACATTGTCCCTCGTATTGCTCTAGGATGAGCTTCGTGATGCAGTGTTGCTTGTGTTTGCTAACAAACAAGATCTTCCAAATGCCATGAATGCTGCTGAGATAACTGATAAGCTTGGCCTCCACTCTCTCAGGCAGCGCCACTGGTATGATTCCATAGATATTTCTCTAGACCCTCTGAATATATCTTTTACTAGGGTTAGTGGATGTACGTTACGAGGTGTATTATTATATCTCTTTATCTTCCATAATTGTAGGTACATCCAGAGCACCTGTGCAACCTCAGGAGAGGGGCTCTATGAAGGGCTTGATTGGCTCTCCAACAACATCGCCAACAAGGTAATAATCATCCCAACCTGACACCGAATCAAATAGTTTCAAAATAACAAAAATCCTTATTTGACATTGCATTATTCTTTGATTTGCTCACAGGCCTAGGCTGTTGGAAAGCGCGAGGGAATTCTCTCCTCTTTCTCTCTCTCTCTCTGGATGCATGCGGTGTTTTATCTGGGTTTTTTTACTCAAGTCTGGTTGTGAACGTCATCCCTTTTAAATGGGCATTTTGAATTTCATTTTTTGTGTAGTATAAGATTTGAATATATGTAATGTCATGGCATGGCTAGATTTGACCACAATGGTGTATTAACTCACATGGTTTTTTATTATGGTGCTTTCACTCATGCTGGTGTGGTTGAGAATTCCCTTCTCGTTTCCTTTTTTAGCTCTACCTTCTTCCATGAACCGGTTTTCCCAGGCTGGCCTGGTGATTTTGCGTGCTTTCGAGTAATCACGTGACAAATTAAGCGTTTTCTTCTTGATAGGTTGCTAGTCCTCCAGTGCAAATGACATTACGATTCTCACCTTGGGAATGTAAACATCACCCCTTTCTTGATGCAATTCTTTCCAACTCTTGAATGTGCGTCCTCTTGGATGGCTGTCTTGCCATCATTATTTTTGTTCACATCATTCTTGAAAACCGTCCCTATACCCTTTCTATTTTGTTTTATGGCATTGTCTAATTGGCTAATTTTTTTATAGTATATTTACAACTTTTTGTTCGTAAAATTGATCTCTTACGGCCCCTATACCTTTTCTTTTGTTTTATGACATTGTCTTATTGGCTAAATATTTATTTGAGGCCGGTTCCCCCCTACATTCTCATTCTCAAGATTCAAGGCTATTCCTTTCACACCGCTCAAATTCCACCATTTCCCCAGCTTGAATCTCGTTCAATCCATAAACATGTGCAATCCCATCTCCAACTGAGACCACTCGACCGATCTCATCCACTTGGAAGTTTGTGTAAAAGTTGCTCATTCTACTTTGTAATAGACTCGTGAGTTCCGCAGCTCGGGGAGTTCCCAATGTTATTGGATGACCCGGGGGTGTTCCAGTGCTCTGTTTGTAAAATTGACGGTTCCTACTCCCCTAACCCTTCCGGTAAATCCCCACTCCACCCCGACCCGAACACACCCCCACCCCCTTCAATTGCACCCCAAGTTAATTTTGACTTTGGAGTCAACTTGGGGGTGTAATTGAAGGGGATGGGGGGTGTATTCGGGTTGGGGCGGGGTGGGGGGTTTACCGGGAGTTGGGGGTAGGAACAATCAATTTTACAAACGGGGTACCGGAGTACATCCAGGTCATCAACCAATGTCATGGGAACCAAGGGGTATTTATATATACAAGTTTTCGTTCGTAATAGTGATATCTCTTACTCTCTAATCTCCACCCCCCTCCACCCCAAACATTGTGTAACCCAATATGAAAGTCTTTCTAGGACAGAGGGTGTGTGTAAACACACAGATATAACCTGCAATAATGCAATATATATTCATACTTTTACACACAACATATTGGCTAAAGATTAGTCATATAAAAGGGGGAACGTCGAGAGGTGTCCGACACAAGAACCACAAATCTGTCTATTTAGGAATACAAAGCACACATCGGAGCCAGCCCATAGTTTTAGTATTATGGAGGCATGGAGATACCCTCGACATGATATATAGCAACATAACCACAATCCACTAAAAAAAAGCTTGTTCAAGCCCTCTTACAAACTGTATCACTACAAACCCACAACTCCTTTGTGCTCTCCTCCTCCTCGTCTTCGCTCGCGCTCACGGGTCCGACGAGCTCGTTCAGACGCTCTTCTGTGAAGGGGTATGCATCAGCACCAAAATTCGCCACCATTTCTACGGCTTCAGTGGTGAGGGTTCGGCCCGATTTCCCTATAGCTACCAATGTTGGGATCCCACGAACTTTGAAGAGGCGGCTTAGAGACCTCTTCCTCTCATCGCCAAAAGGAAGGGCCAGCCATGGCATCTGGGAGAAGTACTCATCAAAGGAGGCCTGATCTCTGTCGCTTGAGATGAAGATCACTTCAAATGCATCGTCCTCTTCTTTGATCGTGTCGTATGCATCTATGAGTTTTGGTAAAAATTCATGGCAAGGAGGACACCAGTGTGCAGAGAAGTAAAGGAGTATGGTTTTCCCAACAAGATCAGATACTGGAACCTGTGTGAAAAAACAAGCTCATATTTAATGTAATTTTTACCCAGAAATAGACTACGATCCAAATATGTTAAATATAGATGAGCCAACAAATACATTTCAATAACTTGCTAGAATCGGTGATTCCCAATAGTTGTATTCTTGCATCTTGATAAAATTTGGAAGTTGTACTAGGTAACTCTTTTATTTGGGATTGAGCGTGTTGAACAATTTGAATATTGGGAAAATATGTATATAGTAGAGATTAGTGTGTGTTTGTGTGACATTTGCATAACTACCCCTACGTTATGAATATTCACACAATTTCCCATATGCATTGTGTGCAAAATTTTTATGAAAGTGTCTTAGGTATCTCACCTTTGCCCCATCTTTTCCAATGACAAAATCCAAATCTCCTTTAACCAAAATTGATTCTAGTGTCTGTGCATCTTTCTTAGCCTTTGCCATCTCTTCAAGCTCAGCTAATCTTTCAGCAGTAAAAGGGTATGCCAGGATGCCATGCTCTTCTATGGCTTCAGTGACATTAGACTGAAGAGTCTTCCCATTTGGACCAATAATGACTAGGGTGGGAGGTGAAAAGACCTCAAAGTACCTCACTAGCTTATCACGGCTCTGATCTCCAAAAGGAATAGAAAACCAAGGCAAGCTTTTAAAAGCTTCCTTGAAGGTATTCTCATTTGATTCAAGGGGAATCGTCACAATCTCAAAGTTTTCTTTCCTTTCTTTCAATTTCTGATATATTTCAAGCAGCATTGGTGTAAACTCCAAGTATTGATGGAACGTAGACAATGAGAAATACAGGCCAACAGTTTTGCCTTCAAGATCATTAACAGGTACCTTGTAAAGACAACATAGATATAGAATCAGTATAAGGATCAATGCCTAAATACGGAGTATGTTTTGCACTCTCCAAATATTATTTTGTGCTGTCCCTGTAAAATTAGCTCTTCTCATCCCTACAATTTACATTGGTTTCTTTTCAACCTATCTTTGACTCTCCTGTTAGACACACCATTTTGTTCATGGCTCAACTTTAGTTTAAAAGAAAATGACATCGCTCATACTTCTTTGACAGATCTAGATAGGCGTAACATAAATTGGGGATGCCAGTTCACCTAATTCTAATTCCCCTAAGGGCCTGTTTGCTTGGAGGGATGGGAGGACAAGCGATTCTCTCCATTTGTTTGGTTCAAAACATTTTTTAATGTGGTACCAAAACCTTCCCTCCTCTTCCTTCTCCTCCAAATGTTGCCAGAAGGAGAGATGAAAAATATTGGGTCCCACAAGGCCACAATAAAAGAATATTTTGAGCCAAACAAGGGGAGTGAATCACTTTCCATCCTATCCACTCTAACCAAACACACCCTCATAGTCTATGAATGAGTGAATAGTTAAAAGTTGACATCGAAATGTTAGGCATAAATTCTATGAGCCATGGTAATTTTCTTTTTTCCTGAATGTAATTTCAGGAAATCTAAAAAAAAAATAACAAAAAAATGAAATACTCCTATATGAATCTTAATGATCAACATAAATACAGATAAAAACATATTTAAGCCTAAAAGACACACCTTCTTCCCATCAGCTGCAACGACAAAGTCACGCGATGGAGTAACAAGGATACTTTGCAAGGATTGATTCCTGATGGCTGCTTCTTGAGCTTCTTTAAGTTCTTTGATCCTCTCTGCAGTAAAAGGGTAGCCTTCAACTCCATAATCAAAGATAATCTCAACGCCATCTTCTGTTGACACTTTCCCATTTCCATCAAGGATCACAAGGTGGGGTATTCCGCTAACAGTGAATAACCCATTCAGCCGGTCACGTGTGACAGAATCCGAGAATGGGATTGCCGTCCAAGGCATTTTAGAAAAGTATCCATCAAAAGAATTATCATCCACATCAACAGATACAAACACTATTTCAAAATCTCCTTTGGAAAGGATTTCATTGTACACTTCTGTTAATTTTGGGGTGAAATGCCGACATGGACCACACCATGACGCCGAGAAGTACAATCCAACCTTTTTCCCCTTCAAATCTTCAATTTTGACCTGGCAAAAACACTTCAAATTTAAGAATATAAAACAATAAAGATATAAAGATTATTGCAAAACAGTATGGTTGAGATTCACAGAAACCTTTTGGCTGCAGTTGTACAAGTTGTTACTATATAAATTGTTAGGTAAGAAGAATTGTTTCTTAGTCTTTTTTATTTTTTATGTAGACATTTGAGGATCCATTAAAGCAGCAAACAAAAAAAACTTAGGAGTAGCTGTTTGACAAATCCAAACAAGTAGTACCTCCGTCCCAAAGTAAATTTCTAAGACACTATTCGCACAGTCAAACTTTATTTACTTACTTCCACTAGTCATTTCATAATATAAAATAGCTAGTTAGTAAAGAACTTTTTATATACTCCCTTCATCCCGAAATGTTTCCCATTTAACTTTTCATGGTCATTGTTTCACTTTGACCATTACTATCTAATTTATACGGAGTAATATATTTTATAAAAATTTGATATTTCAAAACTACGTTTCAATATGAATATATTGATAAGCTTTCAGTTTTTGTTTCTAAGGAATTAATAACCGCTAGCATCAAGACTCAAGAGCATTCACGATCACCAGTTCAGAATTTGCAGGTCGAAATGATACGGACTGATTTCATTGTCCCACACCAGTTAAATGGAGAACTTGGTGATGGGTTTATATAGCCAAGGGTTCTCCCACCTTAACAGCTAGCTTTTAGGGTGTGGCTCTCCCTTGTGCTGTATCAATGGTATCGGAGCCAACTCAGGCCTACGGAGTGGTGGCCTGGTGAAACCAGCCGTGACCAACGTGGCCGTGACCAACGTAGCCCTGACCAATGAGGACGTTGGGCTTATGGGGGGTCGAATGATACGGACTGATTTGGGGAACTTGGTGATGGGTTTATATAGCCAAGGATTCTCCCACCTTAACAGCTAGGGTGTTTGTTGCTCTTTGTGCTGTATCACGAAACCCTATCTAAACCGTATATATTTTTTTCATATAGAAAATATACTTGTTTTATGTATAGAAACTAAAATTCCTTACCTGATCACCGTTGTTTCGAATCAGAAAATCCCTATCTGGAGAAGACAGGAGAGATTGGAGGTCGTCAGCATCGCCCTTCAGATCCGCCATTAAACGAGAATTCGACTGGAAGCGTAAGAGTGGCTAGAGGGTCAGAGATAGTCTGATAGAGATGACTACAAAAAGTACCCCGTATAAAACTAAACAAAAACACACGTGGTAAAAGAATTTGGGGCAGGGATGTATTTCTTATCTAGACTGTATTTATGCATTTTTAACTTTTCTTAATCAATTAACATCAATTTTTGACTACAAATTAGGAGTAAATGATATATTAATTATATAAAATAATAAATTAAGAATATTATACGAAGTATCTGATAGAATTATTCTTGTGTTTATATTAAACATAAATTTTATTTAATTTATAAAAAGTTAAATGTGTTTCTTTGGTGCATCTTAGGTGCATATTAATTTTGTAAATCTTCTCACATAAATATATCTTTTTTATTTAAAAAAACAAATGCTTATTTAAGTAGTAAACAAATGCTTATTTTACTCATTTGTAGATCCATAGTGGACATTAGGTCTACCATAAAATTTGTCAAAAGTCAAATATAACAAATACACTAAGATGAAAGTAGTAATAAATTTGACTGAAGCAGACTAAACCAGATTAAAATACTCCCTCTGTCCCAAAAAGATTTACACGTTTCAAAAAAATTGTGTCCCACAATCCCTTACCCATTTCTATTAAAAAACCACTTTTACCCATTACTTTTTCAAACCCTACCTATCACATCATACTTTTTTCCTAATAATCTACACATCACATCCTATTTTTACCAATCACATCAAGGATATTTTTGGAAAGTCAACACAAAATTATACATCCCTTAATTTCAACTTTAGTCAAAATGGGTAACACTTGGGACGGAGGGAGTAATAGTTTTGGATTTGACCATATCTTAAAATGTCAAGATTTAGGTTCATAATTTTTAGATCAACAAAATTCTGATTTAAAATCAAAATTATTTTTGGTTGGACCCATGAAACCAATTTCTTGTACTCTCCCATCCCTATTTTTTATTATAATACTAACATCTTAATCCGTGTCACGCACGAGACTAAACAATTTTTTTTGTTGGTTTGTATTTTTTTTTCTTCAAGAAAATGTAACTCCTAAGATCTGTTTAGTTAAGAGAAAAAATATATTTTAAGAAAATTTTAATATAATTTCTTACGTTTGGTTACATTACTGGTAATAAATCTTTTTTGAGGACAAATATTTTCAACTCAAATATTTGTTTTGGACAAATGTATATTTTCTTACTCAGTCTGCAACTCTTCTGATTTCATGAACAAAGCAAAAAAAAACCCCTCCCTCCACTATACCCCGTCCGAAATCATTTAGATTGAAGCTCTAAACTAGAGTTTCGATATCAATCGAATATCAAAATATAAATTGCTCAGCTAAAATTCATGGGTAGTAAGAAATTCATTGTCCAAAATTCATGGGGAACTCACTCACCCTGCACGTTCTAGCGGAGACGGATGCATTATTTATTTGCCCGTCATTAGATAGAGAAAAGTAAGAACATATACCACATTATAATCGAGTCAATAGCGTTAAAAATGAATATACAACTCCAATAACACTTTTCATCTATATTCATAAGATAAGACCTCTCCAACATTAACAAAGGTCACTATTTTTATTTGTCTTTACATTTTTATACTTTTGATTGAGTTATTTTGTCTTTTTAATAATATTATTTTTTAATTGTTTTTATTTTCATATTAAAATGATTTTTTTACTCAATCGGAATAAAGTAACTAATTTGTATCACATTGACCATTTCTGATAATAAATGAATATCACTAGTTTCTGAGTCATTTTGTGAGTCACATCATAAATTGTAATTATTTTAGTGAATAAAGTGAAATTTAATATTACTAGATTCATACCCGTGTGTTGCATGTAAAGAAAAATGTTGCAAAATATAAATTAAAAATATTTGAATTATCAATGTTTAAGTAAATTAAATATAAGTTAACTATATAAATAGAGGTTCGAATAAAATTAAGTATTGTACCAAATCTTAAATTTAAATACAAACAATTTCACGTCATATTCATAAGGCGTCTACAAATTTTGAAAAAACCTCTTTATAAATAATGTTACTTGTGGAGGGTGCAGGCCATTGTCCATCATTATAACAAATCAATGTGATCTATAATATTTCTCAAGAGCATTATTGATGTGCTAACTTTCAAGTTTAGTTTATGATTTGGAACAACTAAAGTACGTACATTATTCAAGAATTCTGACAAATGTTGGGAACGTTGTCAAAATCCGAATTCCAATCTGACTTGCAAACCTTATGAGATCCCAAACATGTCATAGAGTCATTGTTTGGATTCAATTTCAATAAATCCAATTGTATGTTACGTGTGGAGTCAATGTACACATTGTTTAATTTAAGTTGTTGTGCAAAGGGTATTAACATTGAAAAGTTATATTCAATGAAGAGCAACTGCATGGGTTACCAATTTGTACCAACAAAAGTATACTTCTTACTTCCCACAACGAATGACACTCCACACTATTCAAAACTCACGATAACATTTTTTATTTATATTTTCTATTACATATTTGATAAAATAAAATATTATTATGCATATGTAATTTTCAATTCTAAACTTTTTTTGTCGTATTGGTTCATAAGTAAAGAGAAAAGCGCCAATTTTCAAACAAATTGTAAGTGAAAAAAATAAAAGTACATTCACATTGATCTGCTTCAACTTCATTTTTTATTTCTCAAACTGCAAGGTAAGTCTTTATTATGCTATATTATGTTATAAAATGAGGGTGGTTTATATAAAATAAATTCAATGGAATAGAATAATCTGGAGTACAACAAATTAAATACATTTTTTAGATGTGGAGTAAATCATTTTGTTGTGTGTTCTTACTCAATTCTCAACAACTTGAGATTAAAAAAATTAAGTTAAAACAAATCAATGTGGCCTATCAATTCCAAAGAACCCAACGAATTTAGATTTCAAATGCTTAATCAAAGTATATGATTTCAGGATGTCCAAGGGACATTTAAAAAAGTCATTTATGCATGAAACAACACTACTCCACATTCAGCTAAAAATAACATATATTGGCATGCAATATGCAAATAGTTTCGTTTTTTGGTTTCAAAGATATCACTTCCCGAAAAAATTTAATTACTTCTATCTTATAAAAAAAATTCGATTATGGAAAAAAATAGGTAAATTTTATGGTAGATTTAAAGCCACCATGGACCTACATATGAGAAAAATAAATATTTTCTTACTACATACTCCCTCCGTTCGAAAAAGAATGTTACGTTTCATTTTTTGTGCATCCCTTAAAACACTTTTATATCGTCTCAAATGCCAAAAAAACTTTCAAAATAATTTCATCTTATAATAAAGAGTAAATATGGTAAATTTTAGAATTTTTAGATGTGAGTAGCCGTGCTTTTTGTGATGCGCAAAAAATGAAATGTAACATTCTTTTTGGGACAGAGGGAATACTTAAATAAGCATATATTTTTAAAAAATAAAACAATAATTTTTTTATGTGCACAAAAAATGGTATGCACTCAAGGTGCACCATAGAAGCACTCAAAAAGATACTCTCTCCGTTCTCAAAAACACTTCCTCTTTCATTTTTTTTCACTTTCAACAAACACTTTCTCTTTCTATTAAAAAACCATTTTTACCCTTACTTTTATCTATCACATCATACTTTTTCTCTAATAATAAATCCATCATATCTTACTTTTACCCATCACATCAGGGGAAAAATTGGAAGTCAACTATAATTTTACACTTCCTTATTTTGTCTTATAGTCAAAGTGGGAAGACTTTTTTCCAAACGGAGGGAGTAATATTTAAGGAATGTATAATTTAGCGTTACTTTTCAATTTTTCGTTACTTTAATGTAGGGTATGACAATGTCATTAGTAGATTACTACTCCCTCCGTCCTATAATGATCTTCCCAGAGTACTATTCCAACTTCACAGAAATTTATATTTATTTGTGTTTTTTCATGGCCTATATGATAAAATAAAATATTCTTGTCACCACTTGTTTTGTTGAACTTTTGGTGTAGTTTTTAAATATGTATGTTTTATTTTTTATTTCTATACCAATATTTAAATAAAATAGATTGAAAAACTTGGGATTTTTCTTCGTTTTGCGAACCGGGAAGATCATTATAGGACGGAGGGAGTATTACATACGGAGTAGATGAGATGAGATCAAGAGACACATTTATAATCAGTAGGTGTATAAAGGAGATTTTAACGAAAATTAAAAGTATTTAAATTCCAATGGAGCTACAGATAAATTAAAGTTAAATCCATTAAGAATTTACAACTAAACTAACTTTCATGAGATTATGGATTACAAATGATTATGAATCCTATATTTTTTAACTCAAATATTGAGATGTATTATATATTAACATCAAGTTCTTATTAATTACAAAATTTTTAGACATTGCTCCATTTTTTATTGGTGAATTTACTTAAATAGCACCAAAACATAATGACTTTCCCTAAATAATATCATATGTTTTTTTTAATATAGCACTTTTAGTCATTATCCATTAGTCATTATTCAAGTAAATATTCACCATCACTGGACATTATTTCTTCTTCTGGACATTATTAAGTGTTATTTAGGGAATAAAAAAGTTTAAGTGCTATTTAGAGAAATGACTTGAATTTTAGTTCTACTTAGTGCAAATATTTCTTTTTTATTTTCTTGGTTTGAGATTTATAAAACATGCTCTATATAATACGCCGTCCGTTTAAAAAAACGATTTCTATTTTCACTTTTAGAAAAAATAAAGAGTGCATATTTATAGTTGACTCTCCAATTTCATCCTTGATATGATGTATAAAAAGTGATGTTTTAATAGAAAATGAAAGTATTTTCCGAAAAACAAAAATAATAAAAGAAAAATATTTTAAGAATGAACGGAGTACAAATAAATTTGGAGTAACCCAAATTAAATACAGTTACCAAAGTATGTGCCTTTATTTTTGTTACCAAAGTGGGCGGCTGACTAAATTAATGGGGCGTATTCCAATTTCCAAGGCTTGATAAAGACCATTGATGGAATACTCCAAAGGGTTTATCAATGGATACACTAGGCCGAAAAATACTTTTTTTTTTGTTTCTCAATTCTTTTGCTTTTGTATATAGTATAGATTTTTGTTTGATCGATGAAACATTAAATTATGTCTCTCAAAAAACATTAATAAAGAATATTTCTCACTCAGTCTCAACATTTTTTTGACATGAGTTAGGGACACAAAACTAAGAGAAGAAAAATTGTATGAATGATGTTAAAATTAAAAATTAAGAGAAATAAAAGTGTGAGTCACACAAATATTATTTTACGGAGTACTAAATAAGGTCCAAGACAAAAAAATAATACTCCCTCCGTCCCTAAATAGATTACAATCTTTTTTTTCTCTCCTCTCGATAACTTTTGTTTGTTTACGTGATTTCATCAAGTATTTGATAAAATAAAATATTCTTGTCACCTCTTATTTTGTATAACTTTTGACGTAGTTTTTAATATGTAATTTTTATAGCTTATTGATACACCAATTTGTAAATAAAATGATTTCAAAAAGTAGGAAATTTTACCCCGTAACCCGCAATTTGTAATCAAATTGGGGACGGAGGAAGTAGGATATAAATGGATCGATGAATAAGGAATAAGGAATTTGTAAACATTATTGAAGCATAACTTATTTTAATTAATTAAAGGGATCGATGAATAAGGAATAAATTCCTTTCTTTTTACTTGCTGGTATATGTGAAATTGGCCCAGATTGGGCGTTAAAATATAGACTCCGTAGTTTGAACAAGTCCTAATCGCCCCATTTCTCGCCACTAATTTCGCAAAGCTAAGTGCTTGAGAAAGACCAAAGTAAGACTAAAACATTAAAAATATACCGAAATAGGACATCTATATTTTTATTCCCGAAATAGGACTTACATTATCAAACATGGTCATATATACATTACCAAAAAAGTATAGTAATGTGCACATGTGCACTGCTGCATTACCACAATGCAAAGTCATATTTTGGAAAAAGATATGAAAGTTCTATTTCGATACTTTTCTCTATGTTTAAGTCCTATTTAGGATTTTAGGGTGATTTCTATTAGAGCATGAACAATGGTGAGACAAAAATGGAATGCCACACACTGACGTGGAGCATTTCAACCAATAAAAAACAGTCCAGTCAACAAGTGGCACGTGAGTGGAGTGTCATGTCTTGCAGTGGCAAGTCATTGTTTTCATCACTTTTTTCATATTTTTGCCATATTTCAATTATTAAAAATTATTTTACTTATATATTTTTATCATGAAAGTATTTCTATTTACTCAAATAAATAATTATATATATATATATTTTAATTATTAAAAATGTTTTTGTTATCTACTCCATATTTTTATTTATTCCTTCATCTCAATTTAGATTATTATTTTAGAATTACGATGCAAAAACTCTCTATTTTTAAAAATTATTTCATTTAAAAATTGGTATAAGAATTTAAAATAAAACTTATAAATTTAAAAATTACATCAAAATTTCTACAAAAAAGATGTGACAAAATTTTTTTTAATTAAATAACCAATGAAAACATACAAATAAACAAAAAATATTGAGAGGTGAGGGAAAAAGTTATAATCTATTGCGAGATGGAGAAAGTAAAAAATAGTTCTATTATTATACAAAAAAAATTATTTCTCAAATAAAAATTGAAAAGTAAAAAAAAGGTTAGATGTGCCTCACCCAAGCCTTGCACTGCATGGAGGAACGGTGCTTCCACGCGAGGAAGGAAACTTTTTTGTCCTATGTGGCATGGCATGGCATGGTTTGGAACGCCCGCTGCCAATGCTCTTATGTATTCTTCTTCCCCCCCGTGTTGTACTCTTTTGAGTTTGGTCTTTGGAGTGGTTGCTATGGTTATGTCTAGGGGTGGACACGGTACGGTTCCGGGACGGTTCCGGAACTGCCGGTTCCGGTACCGCCACCCCTTGGTACCGGTTCCGGTACCGGTACCGGATCGGCCGGTACCGGTTCCGGTTCCGGTACCGGCGGTTCCGGTTCCGGTACCGTTTCGGCCACCCATAATTTCTTTTTTTTTTTTTTGCTTTTTTATTAAATTTTTAAAGTGTAGAATTGTAAATGTGTAATTGTTAAAAGAAAGGATGAAATAAAAAACTCTAAAAATGAAATTAATAAAGGAAAGAATGAAATAAAAAATAAAAATAAAAAAAAATAATTACGGAACCGGAACCGGTACCGCCGGTGCCGGTACTGAAAAATGGGCACCGGAACCGGTACCGGAGCGGGCGGTACCGGTACCGGTTCCCGGAACCGGTGGACCGTCCCGGCCGATGGTAACGGTACCGGTACCGGCGGTACCGTTTCCAGTCACGGTACCGTACCGGTACCGTGTCCACCCCTAGTTATGTCTGTCTACCTCTCTATATCTCAATTTATTACTCTCTCCGTCCTAGTTTAAATTATCTGTTTCAGTTTACTATGTTTGATTGAAATTATTTTTAAATCATTTTAAATGAAAAACGGTGTATGATTAAAAAATAAGAATTACATATTCAAAAACCAAATCAAAAGATTTACAAAACTAGCGGCGATATGACTATATCATATTATCAATTGACTAATGAAAATATAGAAAGAAAAAAAATGAAAGAAATTTGACCATATGAATAGTAAACAGATAATTTAATTTGGGACGGAGGAAATATTTTTATCTTTCAAAATTATATTTTCAAACTTGGGGAAGCACGAACAAAACACAACGGAAGCGTATAAAATCTTTTCCCCAAATAAATGAGATGAACAAGAAAGCGCTATGTACTCCAAAAATCAGCAGCACCACCACAAATAAATAGCAACGGAAATAAATAAATAACACACGATTTGCGTGGAAACCCCAAACCGAGGAGAAAACCACGGCCGTTCAAACTTCCACTAGTCACCAAGAACCAAGTGGGTAGAACAAGTTCTCCTCTCTAGTAAACACTAGAGGCAAACACAATCATCAAGGAGCAACCTTGGAACAATAACAATCAACAATTCACCATAAAATGGAGTAAAAACTCCCAAAAAACGCAGGTCTGAAAATGCAGCAAGAAAACCATCTTCCGGGCATCAAAAAGAGAAAACAGACGGTTGGATTTGAAGAGGAGTATGTGAGGAACAACATACTAAAATTTGAGCACGACCGGACTTCGTTTGGCCTTCGATCCGGACGAGAAAAGTGGTTGCTGCAGAGTGTGGCGGAAATCTGATTTTTCTCTTCTTTCTCTGCGTATAGCTACTGCCACATTCCCCACTTCATGCTCCCTTATCTTCCTCTTTTTTTATTAGTTAGTAGCCACATAAAGAGATAAATGGGCCACCATAAAAAATACAATTGGGCTAAAACTTTACACACACAAAATAAGCCCAAATATAAAAGAGAGATTTAAAGTGTTGTCCAATTAAAATTTGACACTTCCTCCATGTAGGGGGGATATTTCCCAACAAATCTCCCCCTCACTCCTACATGGAGTGAGGAAACAAACCGGCCTTCTCAGGGCAAAACATGAGTTTCTCCTTTGGCAAAGTCTTGGTCAACATATGGGAGCAGTTTTGGCTTGTATGAATCTTCACAAGCTCAAATGACTTATCCTCCACGACTTCTCGAATCCAATGATACCTTCTCTTAATGTGTTTGGTTCGAGAATGAAAGGCGGCATTCTTGGCAAGGTGAATGGCACTCTGTGAATCACCATGAAGAAGATAATTTTCTTGTTCCAAACTAAGCTCCTCCAGAAAATTCCTCAACCATAACAACTTTTTGCCTGCCTCAACAGCTGCTATATACTCTGCCTCAGTAGTGGACAAAGCAACACACTTCTACAATCTTGATTGCCATGAAATTGCAGCTCCAGCAAATGTCATCAAGTATCCCGAGGTAGACTTTGCAGTATCAACATATCCAGACATATCTGCATCTGTGTACCCATCTAACACAGGTTGTCGGTACCTCTAAGATATCTGAGAATCCATTTCACGGCTGCCGAGTGCTCTCTACCCGGATTTGACATGTAGCGGCTAACAACCCCAACTGAATGAGCAATATCTGGCCTCGTACATACCATGGCATACATCAAACTACCCACTGCTGAAGCATAATGCACCTTGTTCATCTCTTGCTTTTCTTTCTCACTTGTAGGGCAATGGTCCATACTCAACTTCATGTGGCCTGCAAGTGGAGAGCTCACGGGTTTAGCATTGCTCATGTTGAATCTACCAAGCACTTTCTCAATGTATCTCTCTTGGGATAGCCAAAGTTTCTTGATCTTTCTATCCCGCGTGATCCTCATGGCTAAAATCTCTTTAGCAGGGCCTAAGTCCTTCATTGCAAAGGACTTACTCAATGACTTCTTCAAGCAAGCAATCTTTTTGGTGTCCTGGCCAACAATCAACATATCATCTACATATAAAAGAAGAATAAGAAAGTCACTTTCGGAGTAATTCTTCACAAAGACACAATGATCAGCGTGTGTTTTGTGGAAGCCATGATCAACCATAAAGAACTCAAACTTCTGATACCACTGCCGAGGTGCTTGCTTCAAACCATACAAACTTTTCTTCAAACGGTAAACTAAGTTCTCCTTTCCCTTAACCTGAAAGCCCTTAGGTTGTTCCATGTATATTTCCTCATCAAGGTCACCATGAAGAAATGTTGTCTTCACATCAAGTTGCTCAATCTCTAAATCCATGCTCGTAGCTAAGCCAAGTATAACTCGAATAGAGGTCATCTTCACAACGGGAGAAAATATCTCATCAAAATCTATGCCCTTCTTCTGACTGAAACCCTTCACAACCAATCTTACCTTGTACCTTGGTTCTGATATACTCTCATCATACTTCAATCTGTATATCCACTTGTTCTTGAGTGCTCTCTGGCCTTTAGGCAACTCTACAAGCTCATATGTGTGGTTCTCATGCAAGGACGTCATCTCATCTTGCATGGCATCGTACCACTTCTCGCGGTGCACATGTGACATAGCCTCATCATATGTCTCTGGCTCTCCTCCATCAGTGACTAACACAAAATCATCCTCTGAAAGTCTCGTGGAAGGTTTTCTGACTCTGGTGGATCTTCTCAACTGAGGTTGTAACACCCTAATCCGTCCAGGTCTGCAGCCCCTTTTGGACTAAAGTATTAACTTGGAAATCGTAAAAATTTAAAACTTTTCAAACACTTTTATTTATCACAATAATATTTTTTCATAACATATACAGTACGGAGTATTCAACAATATTGCGGAAGTGAATTAAAAATTGACATATCATAATTCATTTCAAAACTTGTCACATCCATCCCGACAATCTCGCCTCATCTGCCACCAGGATCACATTGTTCTTTCTGTTTACCTGCGTGTAGCAATTAAAACATACTACACGCTTAGCGGTAAAGCTGAGTAAGCATATCTAATGCGTCGAACATCCATATAAACTGAATCTAAATT